CTATTTCAAATCCTGAAAGATGATGCTGTGAAAGTGCTGCACTCAATATGCCAGCAAATTTGGAAAACTCAGCAGTGGCCACAGGACTGGGAAAGGTCAGTTTTCATTCCAATCCCAAAGAAAGACAATCCCAAAGAATGCTCAAACTACCACACAATTGCACTCATCTCACATGCTAGTAAAGTAATGCTCAAAATTCTCCAAGCCAGGCTTCAGCAATACGTGAACTGTGACCTTCCAGATGTTCAAGCTGGTTTTAGAAAAGGCAGAGGAATCAGAGATCAAATTGCCAACATCTGCTGGATCATCGAAAAAGCAAGAGAGTTCCAGAAAAACAACTATTTCTGCTTTTTTGACTATGCCAAAGCCTTTGACTGTGTGGATCACAATAAACTGTGGAAAATTCTGAAAGAGTTGAACATACCAGACCACCTGACCTGCCTCTTGAGAAACCTATATGCAGGTCAGGATGCAACAGTTAGAACTGGACATGGAACAACAGCCTGGTTCAAAATAGGAAAAGGAGTGCGTCAAGGCTGTATATTGTCACCCTGCTTATTTAACTGATATGCAGAGTACATTATGAGAAACACTAGGCTGGAAGAAGCACAGACTGGAAGCAAGATTGACAGGGAAAATATCAATAACCTAAGATATGCAAATAACACCACCCTTATGGCAGAAAGTGAAGAGGAACTAAGAAGCCTCTTGATGAAAGTGAAAGAGGAGAATGAAAAAGTTGGCTTAAAGCTCAACATTCAGAAAACTAAGATCATGGCATCTGGTCCCATCACTTCATGGGAAATTGATGGGGAAACAGTGGAAACAGTGTCAGAGTTTATTTTGGGGGGCTCCAAAATCAGTGCAGATGGTGACTGCAGCCATGAAATTAAAAGATGCTTACTCCTTGGAAGGAAAGTTATGACCAACCTAGATATCATGTTAAAAAGCAGAGACATTACTTTGCCAACAATGGTCCGTCTAGTCAAGGCTATGGTTTTTCCAGTGGTCATGTATGGATGTGAGAGTTGGATTGTGAAGAAAGCTGAGCACTGAAGAATTGATGCTGTTGAACTGTGGTGTTGGAGAAGACTCTTGAGAGTCCCTTGGACTGCAAGGAAATCCAACCAGGCCATCCTAAAGGAGATCAGTCCTGGACGTTCATTGGAAGGACTGATGCTGAAGCTGAAACTCCAATATTTTGGCCACCTCATGCGAAGAGTTGACTCATTGGAAAAGACCCTGATGCTGGGAGGGATTGGGGGCGGGAGGAGAAGGGGACGTCAGAGGATGAGATGGCTGGATGGCACACCGACTTGATGGACATGAGTTTGAGTAAACTCCAGGAGTTGGTGATGGACAGGGAGGCCTGGTGTGCTGCGGTTCATGGGGTCGCAAAGAGTCGGACACGACTGAGCGACTGAACTGAACTGAGCTTACAGCCTTTTATCTCTTAGGCAGTAGGATGCTGGCTATCTAAAATGGAATTTCTCAAACTTCACTTAAAAACTATGTAACACATTAATGGATGTCCCTGGGAAATAGGTCTTCTAGAATGAAATAAGCCTGGTATATGCTGGAGTAAGCAGAGATAAACAAGCTGTTACAGGGTAGAACTTCGCAAAACCTCAAGAACTGTAGGTTGTCCTGTGAATCATTAACACGCAAGTGCAGCAAGCAGTGTTTGGGAAATGCCGGCCCATGTATCACACGGGGCAGCCCACTGGTCATCTCAGAGGTGCCTATCTTGACATTTTCTTGGTTCATTACATACTTGGATAGATGGAATCAGAACCAGATATGGTATTTAATTGCCTGCATACTATGGTTCTATATGATATGGACAAGATGGGGTCAGTGGTTTCTCTCTCTCTCTGGGTCCTCCTGGAGTGTACTGGACACTTGGTGGACTTTTAGATACTGAACACTGTCTTCAGGAGGTGCTCTAGTGTCTTCTAATCCTTAATGACCTTCAGTATAAAACCCGTCCCAGTCAACACAGAGCCAAGCATTTCATGTTTCATAGGAAAATATAAGCGAAGATACTTATATGTGAACCCTGAACAACATGGGTTTGAAGTAAGTGAGTTTATATGCTGATTTTTTCAATAAATACAGCACATAGTTTAATCTTTAAATTAACTAAGTGTGGGGAAAAGTTTGTGTTCAATGTGGAAAGAAAAGACTAGGGTCTGAGTTCTGGTTTTATCTTAACCATCTCAGTTTCCTGCCCACATTGTCAAAGATCTGACCTCTTGTATAAGGAACCAGAACATAAAAAATAGGTTTTAAGCTCTTAAACAGATTATAATCTCCTTGAGTGTGTGGCATAGATATTATACTATCATGAAGTCTTGGGAAATAATAAAGTCCTTATGCTTGATTGGATCTCAAAGGTTTGCTGGTACCTATTATGAAATGTAAATATATCTATTATCATATTGACCAGATACTTTATATATGAGCTTGAATACATAGAATTTTAAAACCTATGAAGGTAATTAGCTACTAAAAATAAAGAAATGCAAAACAGTATTATATTGAGAAAAATAAATATTCATAGTGTTATAAGCATTGGGGATATTTAAGATTGAGGAGCCTGCAAACATTTGATATGATTTTGTTCTTTGTTTATTCGTTACAAACTCTCAAGTTTTTACCGCAAGGCTGATGGTGGATGCAAGTGTGTGTGTGTGTGTGTGTACGTGTGTGTTAACATGTGCGTTTGTGCACTATGGATATTCCTGGGGAAGAACATAAATGAAAAGATAACTAGGTTTGAAATGTCAAAAGAAAGTCTTGCCCCTCCATATCTCATCCTACCCTCTTTATTCCTAAGTGTTCTAAGAAATCAAACATCTACCAATTATGACCTTGAGCATCAGGCCACAGGAAAATAATTTTCACCTTAGCTTCAGGGGAAACTTGTTTAGCCATTAGTTTAACTGCCTGGCTTTACATAATCCACTTAAATAAAAATAACTCAAACATGCTCCAAGCTACAGAGACAAGAAAGAGGAGATGAAAACAGGGAAATGCCCAGAGAAAACAGATTTGTCATTAAGAAATTCACTTGTACTGTTTCCAGGTCTAATCTCTGTCTTCATCAACTTCAACAGAAATCATATGAATCAAAGAGGCAAAACATCATCTACCTTCTACTTCGTATCATGGTATGGTATAGTGAGTGTTATCATCGGAAGGACTGATGCTGAAGCTGAAACTCCCAACACTTTGGCCACCTGATGCACAGAACTGACTCATTGGAAAAGATCCTGATGCTTGGAAAGATTGAGGGCAGGGGGAGAAGGGAACAACAGAGGCTGAGATGGTTGGATGGCATCACCGACTCGATGGACATGAGTTTGGGTGAACTCTGGGAGTTGGTGATGGACAGGGAAGCCTGGCGTGCTGCAGTCCATGGGGTTGCAAAGGGTGGGACACAACCGAGCGACTGAACTGAACCGATCTGATAAACTATCATTTTCCAGGAAGTAACCTTGGCTCCAATCCTGTAGTTCCTTCTCATCCTTTGTACAAAATCACAGTACCTTGAGCTGCCTAAAATTCCTGTGCTTTGCTTTCTTCCTTAAAGGCCATGCTGCCAATTTTTTCCTGAAGATAAATCTTTGAAGACTTTATTCTGAAATTTCAAGAGAATGACAGTGGACCCACATAGCATTCTCAGAGTTGGTTTGTGACATGAATTCTATTAATTAGTCATTCTTTATACCATAGGACTCAGGCCACTAGAGTCTATCATGAATATAAATTAAGTTGTTTTTAGTGATTAAAAGTGAAAAGTTTTTGTTTAATCCCTATTTATTAATATTCTTGCTAAACTGAATAGGTTCTGAAACAGAGTATCTTAGTAATATTTCAATATAAAAGGATCAATTAGAATCATTTTTACACCCTCTATCCTAGCAGCTCAACAGATATATTCTTTAGCTCTTCTAATTCTTTCTTCACTTTTAGAGAACTTAATATTCTGTTAGGACAAGAGGCAGAGAATATTCAAAATAGAAATAAAACATTCCACTAATATCTTGACTGATCAGAACTTCTCTTGTAGATTCTCAGTGAGACACTGTTAATTAACAGTAAGATAACTGCTCTCAAATTACACCAACAGGTGAGCAAGGTGCAAAGAAATCCAAGAAGACAGAACGCTCCAGGATCATCATTGAAATGTGTAGTCATACCAGCTTTCGGAGTGTTAGGAAGATAATTGCTCCTGTTTTGAACATTTATATTTCATGGGCCTCCCAACAACCCTGAAATGCCTTCAGTGAAACTTCTACTTCTGGGAACTAGTTAAGAGCAAATACAAAATGTGCCTTGTCCATACTGAGTCTGTTTTACTGAAGCCAGGACCAGATTCCTGAGGTCTTTTTCATTTCAGCAAGGGTTATTTACCTCGTGAGAACCAAGATAATTGCTGGTGATTTAAACAAACTACACGCACATCTTTTACAAGTCCCATAATGTAAAAAAGAGGGGTGTGTATTTTGTTATCACTCTCATCTGAAGGTGCACCACTGCTCGGGGACTGAAGATGAGCTCAGTAGGTTACAGCCTTCGGGAAAATGTAGCCTGCTCTCTGTCCTTCTGTAAATAAAACTTTACCGGACTACGACTGCGCTCACCTGGGTGCAGAGCTTCTGTACCTCCATGACACTGTAAATCGCCACAACAGAGGCTGTCTAGCAGAGCCTGAAGCATTTACTACCGGGCCCTTTACAGAGAGGCTTCCCAACACAGGACTGAAGAATGCTTTGTGGATTTAATGACATTAGAAGGAATTTTAGGGATTGCTCTGCGGTTACAAACCCCACCTGACGGGAAGGACCACAGAATCCAGGCAATATTACACAACAGTGAACCAAGGCTCAACCCACCCTAGTCCCGGTCATTTCAACGAAACGCTTCGGCTCCTCTACCTAAACTCTGAGCGAGAATAAGCAGGAGGCAAGGTGGCACGAGTAATGCCCACTCACCTGATCCTGCCCCGAGGCCGCTCAGACTGCTCGGACAGGAAGCTGGTGCTGCTGAGGCGGGAGGCGCTGCTGGTTCGGGACACGGCAGACACGTCGCTGAGGTCGCTGTCTGAGGACCGGGCGGAGACGTTGTCGCAGCTTCTGTACTGATCTGTGTGTGCGTTATACTAAGGAGTGAAAACAAGAGCGTGTGAGCTCCGTTACCGGGTGCTGAGAAGCAGAGATACACACGGTGAGGTTAGCGGCTACTCTGCCCGCATCAAGCAAAAGTGCACTTTGCATAAAATTAGGTGTGAAATCTAAAATGACCCAACACTAGCATGATGCATGGCTTCCGACAGAACCATCCCGCATCCTCTGAACGGTAAGAAGTGCTCTATGAGGACAAAATAATCAGAAGTGTCAATGCTTGGGCGGAAAATGCACTAAATAAATGACCCGCACCTACTTCATACCTCAAAACTGCATTATTCATCTTCTCCAGTACCTCAATTTCTCTTTCCTTTATTTTCATCACTGCCTAAAAATTCTACTCACCTTCAACTCTACCCATGAAATAGACTGCTTCTGTGCTTTTTGAGTCTTTCTAAAACTGACATTTAATTTACCCTACACACTCTCCCTATTTTAAGATGTCACATTTTTCCACATTTTACCAAAAAAATATAACTCTCTAAAAAAAAAAGTTGATATAAAGCAAAGGGATTATGCCAAAGTCAAGCGAAGGATCGAGGCAAAGACAGAACTTTGACTTTCTTTCTATTATGGTTTAATTACTCATTTTCATTTTAAACTATTAATTAAAAAAAGAAAGTTAAAAAAGGGATTCCTATTAAAATTTCAATATATATTACATCTCATATTTAAAAGTCTTTACTTTTTAATTAATTAATTTATTTGGTTGTGTGGGTCTTATATGGCATGTGGGATCTAGCTGCCCAACCAGTGATTAAATCTGGGCCCTCTGCATTGGGAGCGCAGTGTTAGCCACTGAACCACCAGTGAAGCCCCTCAATGTGTCTTTGTATCTGTCTTTAGTACTTATTATCTAAAGTCTTAGAAATCATTAGGTAAATGTTAAAATTGGTGAAGGTGTCAAAAGTGTCTTTTTTTCTATTTCTATGTTACTGTCTTATTGCAACAAATCACACAGTGAATAGCTTTATACAGTCTATATTTTTATGGGTGTTTAAGTCATAATAGTAAGGTTCTATAAGTATCTATAATTTTAAAATAACAAATACAGAATTGACTTTCTATTGTTAAGTACTGGAAGGTAAGATAACTTCTTACCTAAAACAAAAGAACATATAACTAAAGGGACACATGACCAACACCGGCTATTTATATTTCTTTTCAAGCGATTTAATTCTGTTATATGCTTAGGTGTGAATATATCAAATGTTTGTAAAACTTGTAGAAAGACTCATCCTTCCTCTGTGCTCTATATCATGTGAGTTTTAACAAATCTAAAATAATCCAAACTAGTTCAAAAATTTGTATAAAAAAATTGTCTTGCTAAAGAATACTACATAAAATGATGCTAAATTGTGGTTCTATATATACAAAGATAATTATAGGGCAATAATACTTACTTTAAAAGTTCTAGAAAATCGACCATGTCTATTTAACAATTTTTCATATGATAGCAGTTAAGGTTGAAGGTATTTAAATGTTAATTTTAATTTTCCATCTCTCACATGTATGTGTTGGGCAAAGAATTTCACAATTCCAAATTTATAGAATATCTATAAAATTATATTTCCAAATAATTTATTCATGATTGCATGATTTACTTTTGAAAGTCATATGCTAAATAATAATCCAAAAGGAAATGCATATATGTTAGTATGTTCAGAAATGAGCTATTTACATAACTTTGTGACCTAAAGTTAACATCATTTATGATCATATATTTCAAGTAGCATGGTAATTTTTTCATCAAATTGTCACATCTGATAACATGACACTAACTGGCAGGATTCACTCAATCAGAACTGGTTTTTATTTACGTAATAGATGTAAAAATGTAACATGCTCGCATGGTGGAAGCTGAATTTAATACTGTTACTGGGGCGTAAACATAATTCCAATAGTACTTGTCTCTAAAACTATCTTGCTATGTAAATATATTATGTCATTCCTGTAATATTTCCAAACATTGAAATGATAGTTTGTACTTGACAGAGTATGAATTAATTTGTTTCTAATACAATAAAAATTTATAGCTGTAGGACACATTCTGGCATGGTGCTGACCCCTGGAACAGAGTCTCCCCTTATTTGGCAAATGCCAGTAGCAAGCAGTGAGGACTATAAACTGAGAGTAAGGGAATGTGCATGGAATTATTTCCCCAACTAAAGAAATCCTCCTTTCCTATAAATTATCTGTTCTTCTCCTTTTTGTATATAGACTTCTGCTATTCCTGTCAAGAGACCAAATAAAGAATTTTGAAAGACTGTCATGTTAACATTTTTTATATTGGAATAAAGAATAATTCATCATTTTGACACAATGTCACAATTTTCTTCACATTTGTAATTTGAAGGAAAGGCTTTACACTTACTTTATACTACTATATCTACTTACTTTCAAAATCTGTTAAAAGTTTAATAACTTTGACTTTTCATCAGGCAAGATTCTTTAAATGTCCTATTGAGCAATTAAATATTTTAATGGAAATACATTAAATGTATTTTGAGAAATGCAGCTTCCTCAGGAGAAATTCATACTGATCATATAGCAGGGGAATTAGTCCTTGATGTGAAGGAAGCCCTGATAAAAGGACTGCTGCTTTCATAACTTATAAATAACATTCAGAAGCTCCTACAAAACCTGTCACATCAACTCTGCCTACTTTTTCTGAGTTACAGAAACAGAAGTGCTCTTTCAAATGTGAGACCTCCATGAAAATTCACTCTCCACTGATGAATTTCACTCTCCTGCCAGGGCATGTGACTCTGACACCAATGAGGACGTAACAGAGTGTCACATTTCAGGGACAGTGATGTAGTTTTGTATTTTTTCAGAAGCCAAGTTACTGCTAATTCCTTAGTCAGGATGGAGTTAGGTTCATTTAATACTTTAAGGAGGTGTCAGGTTTGAGACATCTTAGGAATGATACTACATCTGTCTGGTAATTCTTTGTCCCAAAGAAAATCAAATTCTGTTGGCTTTATTATAAATATTTGAAAACGGTTAACCAATTTCTAATTTGGCAGAATTTCAATTAAGGTGCTTTGCTTTAGGCAAAGTGCTGAATGACTAAAAATAAGTCAATTAAAGAATAAAATTCAAAGTTTAGTGTATATTAAATTTATGAAAATACTGGTTCTCAGCTATACAAATACAAATAGATCTTTGTAAACTGTTAAAAGTTTGGGGTAAAAGGGTAAATTTAAGAAAGAAAAAGTAAGAGGTTTAACAGAAATTGCTACTGGCAACTATTTAAAAAATTTATTGTAAGCATTAAGAATATTAGAATCATGCAGAGTATTTACCTTTTACTTAACCCATAAAATTAAATATAAGTTAATTATTTTACTTTATATATTTTTCCTGTATTATAGTCTCATGTTTTTAAAGACACCATATCTTTGATTTCACACTTACCAGTATAACATAATAATTTTATTAATGTAATATAGTAGTATCAATATATGCAGTAAAAGCAATTGTAATATATTTGAAAGTAAAGGGTTTTTTCATATTCAAATGCAATGAAAGAGAAAAAAGAAAAGGATGCCTACGCAAACAAGAAAGGAATGACAGAATATAATAAGTCAACTCCATACAAATTAAAAGTCGGAGGAGAGCCTCTGAGTCAGGCTGGAGTCATGCATATATTTCATTGGCGTCATAGCAAGAACAAAGGGCATCTAAGTTCCAGCTAGGGAATGGAGAGCTGACCACCAAACAGGAAGTCTGCTAATGAAAAGAAAGTATCTCCTTTCTTTGGAGAGAGCCTCAGTTTTCATAAATTTGGTAAATAAGACAGTTGGACTAGCAGGGATCATTTTTAGGTATTTTCAGAATTTGGAATCTCTCAATCAAGATAAACCTACTTTTGATTCATTATGAAAACAAGTGTTAGTGGTGGTTAAGGGTGGTTTAAGGTCTAGGGCACTTCATTTTAGAGTTTTCTGATCACCTGATGAATGACTAGAGGCCCAGTTCAGAAAGGCTTTCAGGATTTTATGCTGATTCTTTATTCACCTCTTTCTTGTTTTCTGTGCTGGCTCTACCTCTTTCTGTAGTTCAATCTGACCTCATCCTTTTTCATGATGCTAAGAAGTCAAGTAAGCATTTTACATCTTTGATTAAGCTTTTCTAGTTTAAAGATCCTTCCCAAATGCCACAGTGGAGGAAGAAATTCTAAGTTAACCTGATTCATAATTCTTACTGCATTTGTGTAAAAGAAAACAAAAATGATGATGATATCCATAAAGACAGACAAATAGCTGATTAAGTGATAATATCATAAAGTACAAACCAGAGGGAAAAAACATGTGGAGCAGGAATTAGCAACTCTGGGCAACATCAAGATATTCTGCTTACTAATATTTCTCTCTCTCTGTCTTTTTTTTTGCTTTACTGAGTTTACTTTTTAAAATATTGTTTCAGACTCCTAGGGAGTCGGGCTCCTCCACTAGTTCACAGAGAACTTGAGCTTTTTCCAGTTGGAACCTTCTGCAGCTAAACTAAGACATAAACTCATAAAATGAATGATAAGATGATGTCCAACACACATGCCGGTATGGGGGGGCTGGTAACACATCTGATTCTGTTACTGCCTGTATATTTTTGTATTAGTTTCTGAATATCTGGCTACATAATGAACAACCCCCAACATTTAAAAATGAGTAGGTTTTTCTAGGTTCATATAACAAGCTAACATTAATTTAGTATAGTTTTTACTTAATTCTGAATTTCTAAAAGGTCATTACTTCTAAAAGGACTCTAGATATCAAATTATAACACAGATTATCCTGTAGTGCGCTTCTCTGACAGCACTAGTGGTAAAGAGCTCACTTGCCAATGCAGGAGACATAAGAGTTGATCATTTGATTCCTGGGTCGGGAAGATCCCCTGGAGGAGACCATGGTAACCCACTCCAGCATTCTTGCCTGGAGAATCCCATGGACAGAGGAGCCTGGTGGACTGCAGTCCATGGGGTTACAGAGAGTTGGACACGACTGAAGTGACTGAGCACATCCTGTAGTGGCTACTGCCGCTTTTGTAGTCTTTTTAAAAAATATTTTTAAAATTAATCAGATAATATATTCAAAATTGCTTAATGAAGCATAAAACTCTATTTCAATTAAAAATCATATTTTAATCAAAATTATCAGATGCTATTTAGCAGTTTATAAACTCCTCAATGCATCCTTACAAAATAACTTTGAAATATAAGTTTTTATTATCTCTTAAAATCGGGTGGATTTCAGCTTCTAAGAGTTTAAATCATTTTTCCTACTAAAGACAGATCAATAAGAAATCTCACATCACACAATTTTCACTCACGGTGAAATCTCCATAGGAATTCTCAACCTCAAATAGTATTTAAGACTATAAATCTACATCTTAATATTTAAAATACAATGTTAAATGAAATTCAAGAGATAAAATGGCTTCATTTACCTTACTGATGTGAATTTGACTACTGACAATCAGTAAGTGACTTTAACATCAAGCATTTTCCTTTTTTATATACAACATTTAATCTAAATTCATAAATGGTATGTTACTAAGCTTCTATCTTGCAAACATGTTAAGAGGAGAGAAGTCATGATGCAGGACCATCATCTGAAGCATAATTTCTCTCCTATAACTTAAGGGCTCACTGGTCCTACCTGCTACCCACATTGTACTCTTTTTTTTTTTGTTACCAGAGAAATTATTGGTCAGTTACTGGTTTTACCTTGGAATATTGCTCGCGATCAAGTTCTTGACTAGAACCAGACCCTGTTGTCTGCTTAAATCGATGCACTTTCATTTTCATCTGTCTCGTTCGCTCCTCCACTACTAAGCTTGCTGCAAAAACACACAACGGGAATCCATTAAAAGACCGAAGCACCTCTGAGGAACCGAATGGTTTAAGATTGCAATGCTTTTGATAATGAATTCAAATAAAATATCAAAATCACATGATTAACAAACAAAAGGCAGAAGATAAAATGCTAGCAACTGGGGCTCTAACGATGAATGTGACTCAAATCACACAGGATGGGGGACACAAAGTTTAGTAACAAAAGCTAAGGACCCTATGTCTTTATCGGAGATGAAATAATATCAATTCCATTCATAAGTGATTATGTGAAACTGAATTTGATTGTGACAATATGCTCCCTATTGAATGAACTGGTTGCTTGTACATATAAAGCGAACACATCACACAAAGCTACACGTGCTTACTGAGACACATGCACTCCAGGTAACACTTGCAGCTGAAGCAGGCACCTAAAAACTCGTAACGGAGGAGCATCTGCTTTTCTGAGGCATTCTTTTTAAATCCTTCATTTCTACCAACAGCTTTTCATGAATATTTGCCAACCTTAAAACTGGACTTGCTAAAGGAAAAGATTCAGTTTCTTTTTCTGAAAGCTCTGACTGACTACAAAAACGAAATTCATACTTCTTGAAAATGTGATATAGAACTTTAGGTTTTAAATTTAAATTGTAAATAAACGAGTGTATTCCAGTTAAGCCTTTATTAATCTTCTAAGTAGTGTAGCAGGTGTAACTGTTTAGATGTGAAGTACTGCCTTCAGTAAAGTATGAGCTATTTTAAATCAGAATCCATCACAAGTACCTTAAAGACCCTGTCTTTAATCTTTACATTCTTACAAATGAAAAAAATAAGAATACAGTTGTGGACATGTACCTGTGTTGCATGAGGACTATGTTTATGCTTTATAACTTATCTTTTGCCAATCTCTGAAACAAGTGCTAGAGTTTATTATTAAGTTGCTTACATACACATATATCTGACCAAAACCCATACTGTTTTGTAACTAATGTACTGGGGTTTCTGCCAAGAGGTTCTGTGATTTAAACGAGAATGGGAATATTGATACATCTGATTGACCTGGTTGTTAATTTCTTGTCTAACAGGAGTTTATAAAGACACTTGCTGACAAATGTTTTCCATTCCAGTAGTTAGACATGGCCCACGATCCTTGATAAAAGACACCGACACTTGTGGAAATTCAGTAAATATGTAGCTTTGGCTGTGTGTCCAAGTACAGACTAATAGCCCATGAGATAAGTACACGGTATGAAATGTGTGGTAAATGTTTTAATTGTCTTTTGACACCAAGTTATTAGATATTTTGCTTTAAGTCAGTATATTAGACAGATGATATCAACCCCTAATGACACAGTTACAAGAATGAAGCAGTCACAACACTTGCTTTGAAAAAGTTGACTCAAGGTTGTAAATGATAACTATCGTGATTAACATGTGCCTCGATAAAGACCTTGGGAAGAGCAGTTTCTAAGTGTATTAATTACTTGACAATTTATAAGGTGTCATAGTAAGTATTACAAAGCAAAATGCTATGTAAGAGAATTAGGAATTGAGAAAAATCATTGAAAATGTGAGCTGTACTTATAGAAAGCCGTAAACCCCTTGAGAAAATGTACAGGAGTCTGCTGTCTGCTGTCTGCCATCTGCCTGCGATGTGGGTAACTCCTGGGTCATCTGCTTCGGGCTTTGAGGAAGACAGAGAACTGTAAGCACCTGTACTCTACAATTAATGCTTAAAGCAAATCCAAGTCATCTCTACTTGTGATAAAAGCAGATTTAAATGATGTCAGCTTAATATTCTCAGCAATGACAGACCTTTTAAGAAATTTTTGACACTGGTTAGCCTATAGCTTTGTAACCTTTACATTTAGCATCATGTAATTCTTGGTAGGGAGCACCGAAAAGATTATTTCCCATGAGCTACAGCCTAAAGCAGTCTGAAATAGTTCTGGTGACTTAACCTTGCCAGGATAGCACCTTGTTTCTTTAAATGAGAGACACAGAATTCCTGGGGTGAGCCTGAGAAACACACAGCAGGGTGGCCAAGAAGTCGTGGAAAAATTAAGGAAAATGCTTCAGATTGAAGGTGACGTGTGATTAGCAAAGTACACGTAGGTTACAGTTGTCCCTTAGAGAAGACCAGGTTTTCATCCCTGAGAATGAAGGATGGCTTTCCATCTAATAAACCTGGAAGACCCTACAGACAGGCTGGTTTGTCATCAGCTACATATCTCCAGCTATATTTTGTTTTTATTCTTTTCTAAAGGCAACTCCATCCAGACTAGCAATTCTGAAGGTCTTCTAAAGTTTACAGAAAGAAATGAGATTTCCTTTCTTTCTTACTCTCATTTCTTCTTCTTTCTCTTTATTAAATGTGGTCTTATTTTTTTTTCCCCTTGGACGAGACTGTTCCATGTTGTTTTGCTCTCAAGAGGACCTGCTGGTGGCAAGGGCTGTCTGCCCTTCTGCTTTCAGAGGCAGGACAGGACCACGGAGGATACCAAAGGCGAACTGCAGCAGCAGTAGCAGCAGGATTTTTAAAGACTTTAAAAAATACCAACAACAAACTGAATCCTACAGTGGTTCAACGACTTCACTCTGAAGTGAAGTAATTAATATACTATCTTTATTCCTAAAGAAGAGAAAGTTGACATCCTCTAAGCTGTCAAAGAAAGAAAATCTTCAAATCGTTTTCTTTTCAAAATCCTGACTCATATCTCTGTCTTCAATGCTCACTCTCGGATTCCAAGATCACAAGTGAAATGCAAACAGCTTATCACTGACTTACATCAAAAAGTCAGATAATTACATATAATTCACATTTGTAAAGACTATTTCTCATTATTTCCTGAGGATGTGCACATTAGTGTGTATTCTGAAATAACTGTCAATACAAAAGGTCATGTTTCAGTAAAACTGTTTTTCGTAAACATCAATGAAGAGGCTTCAGTGTGAACTGGGCAGTTCTTTAATTTTTCTACGTATTTTGTGTATTGTACATTATGGAATGAAATGAAATCAATTCTGGATTATTGGTGTGTCAGTCTAAATAGTGAGAAAATTTATGAGTTAAAATGGAACATTTATCACAAATTGATAAAGAAAACATGATTATTAATGTACATGATTTACAGAGAGAATAATGTACTTGGTAATGATTAGAAATAAATCCTTGGAATGTGATTAACCCTTGAGTAACCAGTTAAAAGTAAAATTAACCACAGCCCAGAGAGCTCAAATATCTTACTTTGAAAAGAATGATTATTCATTATTAAATTTTTTATATTAACAATGTTAATGCTAATAGCAAAATTAAAATATGAAATAAAATATTTTCTAATTCTTCCATAAATCCTAGCATTAAATTTACATTTTAGGAACACTCTGAATACTGGTAGCATTGGAAACTAACAAATCATCAAAGTGCCAGTTACTATTCCTTTTTAAAACGATTTTAAATTTGGAGAACATCTGGATTTTAATTTTTTTTTTAATTTCAATACTGCCACATACTAGAGAGTTAAATAACCTCGCTCATGTTTTATAACAAATGTAATTATCACATAATTTCACTTAGTATTTTAATGAAAATATAGCTTCAGTTATAATTCCCATAGAGTGATAGTATGATAGTAATATAATTCATTTCCCTTAGCCACTAGAGTATAATTAACACTAATTTTATACAGAAGCTTCTTTTAAAAAGCTAGAATTTTTCACTATGCTTTCCACAAGCTGACTGATGTCTGATGTTAAATAAACTGTGTCTTTTAAAAAACAAGTATTAATTTTCCTAAAAGATATTTATTGAATTTCATCCAGTTTCTTTAGATCAACTTTATATCCTCAGTTAATTTTAAATTCTGACATTTTTACCCAATGAATATACTTAAATCAAATATCAACTCAACATTCCAATTAAGAAAGTTTAGAACTTTTTTAGAGTTTAAGTTAAAAAATAAAATACTTGTGAAATCATTTCTTCTAAACTCAATGAGAATAACTGATTGGAGCACAAAGAGTGAGATTTACTAATTTTTTAATGGAAAATATTAGATATTATTGAATATAAAGTCAGATTAAAATAATTACTTATTTTTTCATGCCCCATGTTGTGCTATGAATTCTTAATCTAGTATTATAGATGATCTTTGGAGAAACTATGAAGAAGCTGCAATCATTTGCTTGGACCTATATGCACTTTTCTAGATCTATCCTTTCATAAGATTATTAAAGAGGCCTATGACTTAAAGCTAAAGAATCATTAATGTCTTCCCTAATCCATCACTGAAAAATTTCCAATGTATCACCTCTTCTGAAGAGAAATGCAGTTTTCTGGGAAACTCCTTTGACTTGGCAGACATTCATGACCTGCTTTAAAACACTGTAAATATTATGGCCCTGTGTAATGTGAGATAATTATAATTTAAACATCAAATTTTCATAAATATATTTTAAATATTATTCTTGAATGTACAATTATGTAAATACAAATTTGTTCTGCTCTTCAAATTCCTTAAATCTTTCACATTTCTCCCTATGCATCTAGAAATTGACATGAATTTGCAGTTTCAAACGCTTCTGTTTATAGGTAAAACAGATAATCCATACAATATATTGCTAAACCTACATTTTCAAATATTCTAGGTGAAATATGAGTGCAAAAGGGAATAGGAATAATGAAAATTTCTGTATTATTAAATATATTAAAGTAAAAAGGTTACTGAGTATTTTTTTTTAATAACAAGATTAGCTAGCATATGTGTGAAAGGTAAAAAACATGGTAACATTTGTACAGGATAACAACCTTGTCTAAAGTTTGCTACCACACTTTATGAAAAATTAGTGCCTCTGTATCCTTGCTGCTTGGTGATACAAAATGAGTTTGGGGACAGTGAAGCCCTGATCTGGGTGTAGTGTGTCTCAGAAAGAGTGATGATAAATGACCACAGGTCTGAAAGCTGTCAGAATTAAACATACGAATGAGATATCTGCAATGCCTCAG